GATTCGCTCCGGGCGGAACCCGGTGGACCGAAGCGAGAGAATGATCCTGAACAACTACCGGGCAGTCCGCCTGACCAAGGAGTTCAAGGAACGGCCCCTCACACCGGAGACGGTCTTCACGATTCACAGGACGCTTGCGGCAGGCACGCTGGACGCAGGCGCGGACCGGAACTATCTGAGAGTGAAGGGCGATGATATCGCCGTCTATGACAAGCAAGGCAGCACCCTGCTCCACAAACCGCCGCCCGCCGGCGAGATCACGCGCCGGATGGCTGCGATGTGCGATTTCGCCAACAAGACGCAGGCAGACGCCTTTCTCCATCCGATCCTGAAAGCCATTGTCCTGCATTTCTGGCTTGCCTATGACCATCCGTTTGTCGACGGCAACGGCAGAACCGCGAGAGCGCTTTTCTATTGGTCGGCGCTGTCACAGGGGTACGGGATGTTCGAGTTCCTGTCCATCTCGAGCGTGATTCACAAGGCTCCCGCCCAGTACGCCCGGTCCTTCCTCTACACCGAAACGGACGAGAATGACCTGACCTACTTCATTCTGGCTCAACTCGGGGTCATACGGCGAGCCATAAACGCCCTGCACGCATACCTCGACAAGAAGGCTTCCGAGATTCAAAGAATGGAGCAGGTCCTCCGGTCTTCCGTTTCGGTCAACCACCGGCAGCTCGCTCTCCTCGAACATGCCCTGCGCCACGCGGGGATGCGCTATACCATTGCATCACACAAGCAGAGTCATGGCGTGACGTACCAGACGGCAAGGACCGATCTTCTCGATCTGGCGTCCCGGAAGCTGCTCGGCATGACAAAGATGGGGCGGGTTTTCAGCTTTACCGCACCGTCCGACCTTGCGGAGAGGCTTCGGACGCTGCCCTGAGTTGGATCACCTCGCCGGATACGAGATGCCGCGGGTGCGGGCCGGCGAGGGAGTTTGATGGGTGAGAGCGGGATGCTGCCTACAAGCGCCGCACATCAGACAAGACGGCCATCTTCCGATCCAGCGTCAGGACTTCGAGACCAGCACGGCCGTAGTCGTCGGCGATGAGCCGGTCCAACAGCCCCGCGCCGCTGGAAGTCTCAAGGGCCTCAATGACCGAGCGCCCATTCACAGGGGACACCAAGCCGCTACGCAGCACGTCCAGCAAGGAAGCGCGGGCCACGGCCTTGGATACTCCATAGTGGTGCTGCACAGCGATGTAGGCCTCTCCCGACGACCTGGTTTGATGCGAAGATCTCGCTGCCCTGCTCATCAATCAGGGCGCGAAGCCTGCTCACGCAATACTGGAAGTCCTTTTCCGGGTCTCCCGTGAGTAACCGCACGAGCACCGAGGTATCAATCCCGTAGCGACGGATCATAGCCTTGTTCCCGGAAGGCTTCGATGTCGAACGGTGGGTGTCCGTTTGGAATCTTGTCGCGCAATGTCCCGAGGCGGGAATAGTCGATGCGCCTGGGTCGCAGAACGAAGCCGCCCGCTCCTTCTTCCAGTTCAAGTTGATCGCCGGGACCGACACCCAAGGCATCCAACACCCGTGCCGGGAACGTGACTTGTCGCTTCGATGTAATCTTGACGATCATGACCGCCTCCTTACTGATATACTAATTTTAGTAAGGGAAGAGGTTCAAGTCGATCTCCGGCCTCCTCGCCCGACCCGGAAAACGATCCAGGACATCGACGAATTGGCCAACGTCGACAACTCAGCCGCATTCCTCGCGTCTGGAGCAACGCCGCTACGGTCATGGCACGACCGGGGACGGCCTTCGTATAGTCCCCGGAAACGCCGAAAGAACCATCTCGACCAGAATCTGCGGCGGTCGGGTCAGCGCGTCGGTGACGGGGATGCCGAGCTCGTCTTCGTACCGCACGATGGCGGCGCTGACATCGGCGTCGGTCATGTTCTCGTGGTTGATCGTGAGGCCGATGACCTTTGTGTCGGAGAAGGTCTGAATAAGATTGATCTCGTCGGCCGGCTCCGGCATCGCCATGTGTTCAAAGTCGCAACGATGGGCTCGTCCGGGTGCGTGCTGCAGCAGGACGCCGTCAGGGCAGGCGCCGCGGAGGATGAAGGCCGAGGTCGCGTAGGCGGGGTGACTGAGAGCAGCTTGCCCTTCGACAATGATTACGTCAGGTTTCTCGGCTTCGAACGCTTCGATGATCGTCGCTTCGAGCTCGCCGGCGCAGAACTGTGAAGGAACGGCGTCGAGCGCGACCCCATAGCGGGCTCCCTGGATCAGGCCGGTCTGGCCCGTGCCGATCATGACCGCTTTGATGCCACAATCATTGAGTGCCCGGGTCAGGACGATTGCGGTGGTTCGCTTGCCAACGGAGCAATCGGTGCCGAGAACGGCGATGCGTGGGCAGGTGACCTCTGCAATACGGCCGCTGAAGGTTCGCAGGCTCTCCTTGGCACGGGGCTTTCGGACGTCGAGTATTTTCACGTTTCGTGCGGCACTTGCCGCTACGAACTCGGGGTCGTCGGTCAAGAACTCGTGGAGCCCGTTCACGATGTTCATTCCCAGGTCGATGGCCTCCAGCAGAACCTCCCGATCGCGGGACGACAACCTGCCGCTCGCCGGAGCCATGCCGAAAATAAAGTAGCCGGGCGTGGTTCCGGCGCTCGCCAGTGCATCGGCCAGGTCGCGGCAGATGGGAATGGCTTTTGGCGGCTCACCGAGCACTACGCCGGCATCGAGACCGGCCTTCTCGCTGTCGATGACCGAAAGGATTTTATAGAGCTCGGAGTGACGGACGAGGCCGTTTGCGGTCTTTCCGTTAATGGCGCCGAAGTTCGCTTCGCAGTACACGATTGCCGTCGCGGCTTCGGTCGGCGATTCTGCGGTCTTATGAGCGGTCGGTTCGATAATGTCCTCTTTTCTCCAAAGCTGAAACGAGGCTTCGAGCGCTTGTCCGAGAGGCCGGAGTCGGCTCGCCTGCATTCCGTGCTGAATGGCGGCCGGCTATCCGTCAGCCGCGACGCGGGGCTGTGAACGATACCACTCCCACGCGGTCAACGCCACGCCCAATACCAGGCTGGCCAGGTTCCACTGGAGCCACGGGGTGATCATGCCCAGGCTGGCGGCCAGGAGGACAAGGCGGGTGACGGGATCGAGGTTCCTGAAGCAGTAGCCCTGCACGGCCATGCCCATGGCCACCATGCTGCATACGGCGAAGAAGACCGTGACGGTGACTTCCGCGGCGGTGCCGATGGTGAGCAACGCGGAGTTGGCCACGAACGCGTACGGGAGCACGAAGGCGGGCAGGGCCAGCTTCACGGCTTCCACGGACGTGGCCACCACCGGTGCCTGGGCGATGGCCGCGGCGGCGTAGCTCGTGGGCGCGGTGGGCGGGGTGATAGCCGAGATGGCGCAGAAGAAGATCACGAACAGATGCGCCTGCGGCACGATGGCATCGGCGTCGAGTCCCAGGCTCCTCAGCATCACCACCAGGGCCGGGATGGCGATGCCCACCTGCACGATGTAGGCGGACGACAGCGGCAGCCCCATGCCGAGGATGATGGCGGTGATCATGACGAAGACCAGGGCCAGCAACAGTTGCCCGCCTGCCAAGTCCACGATGACGCCGGAAAACTTGATGGCAACACCCGTCAGGTCGAAGATGCCCACCATGATGCCGGAGGTGATGATGGCCACGGCCACCACGGTGGACTGGATACCGCCCTGCACGAGAGCATTCCAGATGTCCCTGAGGCCCATGCGCGTTGCCTTGCGGAACCAGCTCACGATCACGATGCCGACAATACAGCGAACCACCGCGTAGCCCGGGCTGAAGCCGGCCACCAGGAGATAGATGAGGATGATCAGGGGCAGCGCCAGGTGGCCCCGGGCCATGATGGCCTTCTTGAGGCTCGGCAGCTCCTCCCGCGGCACCGTGGGGATATTCTCCTTGACCGCGTAGATGTGCACCATGATGCCCACGGCGAGGAAGTACAGCACCGCGGGGACCAGGATGTACTGCATCACGTTGACGTAGGGGATGCCGGTGTATTCCGACATCAGGAAGCCCGCGGACGCCATGACCGGCGGCATGATCAGTCCGCCGGTGGACGCCGCCGCTTCAACCGCCCCGGCCATGTAGTTCTTGAAGCCGATCTTCTTCATCATCGGGATGCTGAAGGAGCCGGTGATGACGGCGTTGGCCGTGCTGCTACCCGAGATGGAGCCCATGAGGCCGCTGGCCACGACCGCAATCTTGGCCGGGCCGCCCCGGAACCGCCCGGCCAGGGCAGTGGCGAACTCGATGGTGAACAGGCCGAAGCCCGACTTCTCGAGAAAGGCGCCGAAGACGATGAACAGGAAGATGAAGTTGGCCGAGATGTGGGTCGGCAGCCCGAACAGCCCGTCGGTGAGGAAGTACAGATTGTCGGCCACCTCCGACGCTGTGTAACCCAGGTGGTTGAGGAATCCGGGCAGGTAAGGCCCCGTGAACGCGAACAGGAAAATGAGCAAGGCCAACGCCGCCAGGGGCCAGCCGATGGCGCGACGGCAGGCCTCCAGCGTCAGCGCAACCGCACCAAAAGCCAGGATGACCTGAAAGGGGGCGAACTCCTCCGTGTAGCCGATGTGCTCGATGATCCAGTCGTACTCGTAGAAAAGATAGCCCATGGTCACGAACCACAGGCCAATGACGACGACATCGTACCAGGGAACTTTCCCGTCATCCGCCCGGCTGAACGCCGAATAGCTCATGAAGGTGATGAGCATCATCAGCGTGACGTGGATCACGCGATGCAGGTACGCTTCGGGTTGGCCGAAGAAGCCGGTGTAGATGTGGTAGGCCGAGGTCCCGAAAGCCACCAGGCTCAGGATGATCCCGGCGACGCCTGTCAGGTTACGCTGCATAGGACCGCTCTCTGCCACGTGTCCGATGCGGCGCGGACACCCGGACGTTCGCTCACGTCAGGTTGGTTGAAGATGTCGAAGCGGAAAAAGAGGGCCGGCGTTCCGGGGCCGGCCCTCTTTGCGTAGTGTCCCTCTACTTGAGGAGTCCCTTCTCCTTCAGGTATTGGTCCATGCCGGCGTGCCGCGGTGCGCCCATGTCGCCGGTGGCGTTGGCCACCTTGACCCGCTCGAAGGCTTTCACGGCTCCGGCGAAGTCGCCCAGATTGTCGTAGATGGTCTTCGTGAGCTTGTAAACGCGCTCTGCCGGAACGTCCTCGTTCGTAATGATGAGCAGGAAGGTCTGAACGGTGTTCACGTCGTTCTTCTGTTTGTAGTTCGTCTTGTCCAACGTGAAGGGTACGACGCCAGGATTGGCCGCCTTCATCTTCGCCACGTCCTCCTTGGAGAACGAGAGAATGCGGATCGGCGCGTGAGTCGCCAACTGGACGATAGGCGCGTAGTTCTCCTCGCCGGGGCCGAGGTAGGCGTCGATATGGTTGTCCTTCATCTGAGCCACGGCGTCGTTGAAGCCGAGATAGTTGACCTTGGAGAAGTCCTTGTACTCGATGCCGAGGGCGCCCAGCATCTGTTGGTTCAGCGCCTGAAACGAGAACCTCTTGGGCATGACGTTGACTTTCTTGCCCTTGAGCTGCTGGTACGACGTGACGTCGGATTTGGCCCAGACCAACCAGAACAGGTAGTTGGGGTAAAGCACCGCGGCCACGCGCACCTTCTTGGCCTGCGCCACCTTCCCCTTGAACATCTTCGCCCCCTTGAGGGCCTCCTGAATGCTCGTTGCGCTGGCGAGACCGAAGCTCAACTTGCCGGACATGACGTTCAGCAGGTTGCCCGTACCGCCGCCGATTTCCACGGTAACCTTGTCGCCGTAGTTCTTGTCTGCCAGGCGCTGCAACACGGTCCCGATGGGATACCAGGAACCGCCCGGCTTCGAGGCGCCGAACTTGTAGCTCTCCGCCAGGGCCGCCGGCGCGAGGGTCGCGACAAAAACCGCGATTAGTGAAACGACCAGAAACCTCTGCAATCGACTCATCGTGATCTCCTTTCGCTGCTCCATCCAGCACCCCTTGTGCCACGGGCGCCCGGACAATCAAAGAACGTGAAACTACTTGCGTCAGGTAGAAATGTCAAGAACGGTCGGGGCGTGCCGGGCGTGTCGCGCCCTGGTGCGGAGCCTGCGCGCAACGGATTACGCCTCGGGCACCGATCCGACGTAGGTCGGATTAGCGAAGCGTAATCCGACACTGGGCGGCTGCCACGGGAGTCGGGTTACGCCTTCGGCTAACCCGACCTACGCGGGGCGGAAGGCTTCAGGGCAGAATGGCCCATTGTTGACAAGGACCGGCCAATTGGCTACGCAACGCAGGAGCCGTGCCGGACGGTCGCGACAGGTCTTGATCCCCTATCTATCGAAGGCACTATGAAACCCGCACCCTTCACCTACTACTGTCCCGGAACCCTTGACGATGCGGTGAGCCTGCTGGACCAGCACGGCGAGGACGGGAAGATCCTTGCCGGCGGACAGAGCCTGATGCCGCTCATGAGCCTGCGCCTCGCGCGTCCCGCGGTCATCGTGGACATGAATCGCGTTCCCGGTCTGGACCGCCTCGCTGTCAACGGCGACGGCAGCCTCGGCATAGGCGCGATGACGCGCCAGCGAGCGCTTGAGCGGGACGCCGATCTCGCCGAACGGAGTCCCTTGCTGGCAGCGGCGGTGCCCCTCATCGGCCACTTCCAGATCCGCAACCGCGGCACGGTGGGCGGCAGCCTCGTCCATGCCGATCCGGCGTCCGAGTTGCCGGCGGTGACCGTGACCCTGGGGGCCGACTTCGTGCTCACGAGCACCCCCGGCGAACGGGTGGTGAGCGCGGAAGACTTCTATCTGGGCTACATGGCCACGGCCTGCGAGGCCAACGAGGTGCTGACCGAGATCCGCCTGCCGGCCTGGAAAGCCGGCCGGCTCTGGGCCATCGACGAGGTGTCCCGGCGCAAGGGCGACTTCGCCATGGTGGGCGTGGCGCTGTGGGTGGACCTCGACGGCGCCGCCTGTTCGGACGCCCGGATCACACTGTTCGGCGTGGGCGGCAAGCCCGTCCGCGTCGAGAAGGCGGAGCAGCACCTCAAGGGCGCCGCCCTGAACGACGCCACCCTCAAAGGAGGTGGAGCGCATCGTCTTCGAGGAGTTGGAGCCCGACGCCGACATCCACGCATCGGCGCTCTACCGCAAGGAGGTGGGCGGCGTTCTCACCCGGCGCGCGCTGAGCGCGGCCGCGGCCCGGGCCACGGAGGGCAGCGCGTCATGAGCACCAAGAGCATCCTCAACCTGACGGTGAACGGCAAGGCCTACGAGAAGCTGGCGGAAGTGCGCATGACGCTGGCGGATTTCCTCCGGATCGAGCTGGACCTCACCGGCACCCACCTGGGCTGCGAGCACGGCGTGTGCGGCGCCTGCACGGTGATCATGGACGGCGAGGCGGTGCGCTCCTGTCTGCTGCTGGCGGTCCAGGCGGAGGGGGCGACCCTGGAGACGTGGAGGGCTGGCGGACGGCGACCGGCTGCACCCCTTGCAGGCGGCGTTCCAGGACCGGCACGCGCTTCAGTGCGGCTTCTGCACCCCGGGGTTCCTCATGACCGCGTCCGCCTTCCTCAAGGAAAACCCCCAGCCCACGGAACCCGAAATCCGCGAAGCCATCTCGGGCAACATCTGCCGCTGCACCGGCTACCAGCCCATCATCGAGGCCATCGCGCAGGCGGCCCCGGAGGTGAGCGGCAAACCCCGTCAGTGATGCATGATGCGATATGGCGCTGACGCCCGCAAACGTCATTCCCGCGAAACAGGCTGTGTCAAAAGGCCAACTTCGAGGTGCGAAAGGCCAATCCGTCATTCCCGCCCCCTCCGTCATTCCCGCGAAAGCGGGAATCCAGGGGTGGTGGAGGGGTGCTACAGCGGCGTTTCCCAGCTCCACCCCGCCTGGATTCCCGCTTTCGCGGGAATGACCTGTTTGTGGGTTGCCGGAGGCTGTTTCGTGGATCCACGGGCGAGGGGCTTCGGCACGACAGCGATGGCGCATCCCCCTGAACGAGAGGCTCTCTGACATGGCGCAACCATACATCGGCGCTCCCATCAGGCGGCGCGAGGACATCCGGTTCATCACCGGCGCGGGCACCTACGTGGACGACATCAAGCTGCCCCACATGGTCCACGCCGCCATCCTCCGCAGTCCCCACGCCCACGCCCGCATCCTCAACATCGACACGAAACGCGCCGAGGCCCTGCCCGGGGTGGTTCTGGTCTTCACCCTGAAGGACATCGGCGAGCTGGACGCCACCGTCCCCATCCGCATGTACAAGATTCCGGGGCTGGACAAGTACCTTCAGCCTTCGTTGGCGCGGGACGTGGTGCGCTACGTGGGCGAGCCCGTGGCCGTGGCGGTGGCGGACAGCCGCTACCTCGCCGAGGACGCGCTGGACGTCATCGACGTCGACTACGAGGTGCTCCCGAAGTGATGGACGTGCGCGAAGCGCTCAAGGACAAGGTGCTGGTCCACGAGCACAACCGGCACCAACCTGGCCGGCGTCCACCACGTCTCCATCGGTGACGCGGACAAGGCCTTCGCGGAAGCCGAATATACCCGCCGCGAAGAGTTCCGGGTGCACCGCTTCACCGGCAACCCCATGGAGACCCGCGGCACCGTGGCCCACTTCGACCGCGGCAGGGGCGAGCTCAGGGTCTACGGCGCCACCAAGCTGCCGCACCTGAACCGCCAGACCATCGCCGCCTTCCTGCAAATGCCCGAGCACAAGTGCCACTTCGAGGAGAACGACGTGGGCGGCGGCTTCGGCATTCGCGGCGAGCTCTATCCCGAAGACTTCCTGATCCCCTTCGCCTCGGTGCGGCTCGGGCTTCCCGTGAAATGGATCGAGGACCGGCGCGAGCACCTGCTGGCCGCCAACCACTCGCGCCAGGTCACCTGCGAGCTGGAGATCGCCGCCCGCAAGGACGGCACGCTGCTGGCGTTGCGCGCGCAGATCTACGGCGACATGGGCGCCTACGTGCGCACCCACGGCGGGCTGGTGCCCTGCTCCACCGCAGCGCTCCTGACCGGCCCCTACCGCATCCCCAACTACGAAGCCAAGATCCACTGTGTCATGACCAACAAGACCGGCCTGGGCACGCTACGGGCCCGCGGACGGGTGGAGTCCTGCTTCTATCGGGAGCGCATGCTCGACATGATGGCGCGGACCTCGACTCGATCGGTGTGGAACAGCTTTTACGGCGGAAGAAGAGAACCTAGCTGCGTGCAGACGAGGAGATCCCTACGAGATCGGTTTCACCCGGCCTAGCGCCCACCCCACCATCCTGGACAGCGGCGACTACCCGAGCGCCCTCAGGCAGGCGCTGGAACGGTTTCGCTACGACGAGATGGTGAAGCTACAGGGGCTGCGGTGGAGGACGGCCGGTACCACGGCGTCGGGTTATCGTACTTCGTCAAGAACACCGGCGGGCTGGAGCCCTACGAGGGCGCCCGCATGGTGGTGGCGAGGGGCGGGCGGGGTGGGGGGGTCAAGCGTTACCGAGCATCGCCCAGCTCGGACAGGGCCACGAGACCGCCATGGCGATCTGCGCCGACGCCCTCTGCGTTCCCATGGACGCCATCTCGGTCTTCCACGGCAACACCGACCTGTCGCCCTTCGGCTGGGGCACCTTCGCCAGCCGGGGCACGGTCATGGCCGGCAATGCCGTCCACCTCACCGCGCTGCAACTGAAGGACAAGATCCTGGAGGCGGCTGCCCGGCACCTGGACGTGGACGCGCGCCCACGCGGCTGGAGGAGACGACAAACACCGGAGTCCAGACACGGGCCACCGTGAGGCGCCGTGCGCGTGCCGCTGGGAGAGCTGGTGACACACATGCGGGAGTCCATCACCCCCGAGCAGGGCGTCCCCGAGCTCGAGACCACCGCCTACTATAACTCCAACAACATCACCCACACCTACGGCGTGCACCTGGCCCACGTGGCCGTGGACCCGAGACCGGCATGCTGGAAGTGCTCAAGTACCTGGTGGTGGAGGACGTGGGCCGGGTGGTCAACGCTCATGGTGCGCGCCCTGAAGACTGTGGGCGGCCGCGGTGCGGAAATCGGACGGCGTGGTGCTGGAAGACGCTCGTAGTAAGGCGAGGAGGGCGTGGCAACTTACTGCCACGACGTCTCTGGACCACGGACTGCCCATTTATCCCGCACCGAAGTGCGCCCTCGACGGACCTCGTGCTGTAGAGGCACACGAAACCGCGATGGGCGTCAAGGCGCCGGAGAAGCGCATCGTCGGCACGGCGACGCAACGGCGTCGCAACGCAAACTCGCATAAACGAGGTAAAGACTGCGGCGGAGCCCGACGCATCCGTTCCTGGAGCAGGGCGCGCGAAGACGGCTAGTGTGGGTCTACACATTACGGTTATGAGGATGCGACGGGCATTGCGTGCACGTCGGCAGATGCGCGCTGACGTGCAGTGGCGGACCTGCGGTCGCCCCTCAGAGCGTGCACCCACGTCGAGGAGTCGCCACGCAGCGACGGCAACAGGACCCGCAGATCGATACGCGCACTTTGCGAGACACACGGTAGGCAGCATGTCCGGGCAATCGAACCGTCGTTCCTCGTAGGTCGGATTAGCGAAGCGTAATCCGACAACCCAACCGGCACCAATGTCGGATTACGCTTCGTAGCTAGTCCGACCTACACAAGACTCTCCGCGGGACGCCCCTCACTCCCGAAATTGCTCCGTGCCATTTCTGTCAAGCTATTTCTTGACACGTCGGCTTTGCAGACACATAATCGCTGAAAGAGAACCGGAAGGGAGCATGCTGTGCCACGAGAGAAATTTTCCAGTCAGGCCTCGCCGGAGATCTTGGGGGCAATGCGCGAGATCGCCCGCAAGGACGGCCGCCATTTCCAGGCGGTACTGGAGGAGGCCCTGCAGGAATACATTTGAGAACCGCGCTCAGGAAAAGCCCCGGGCCTCGGTCATGGCCCGTTTCCAAGCCAGCGTCGAGAGAAACCG